GAGTCTACGTGGTTTTGTGTATGTGTTTGTGTGGGAATATGATGCCGCCTATGACCAGTTTGTTGAAGTCACATAGGATTGTAAATCCCTCACCATTTTTGTTCCTTTCTCCTGGAACATTTTTTCCCATGATGTCTTCATATCCGGTGTTATTCATTCCAACCTTGACATTCATGCCTCCCATCAGGATGGTCAAATCCTTTGCTGAGCACTTCTTGACGATTGTATGACACAACAAAGAATCCCGCTGGAAATCATCGTAAATCAGAATGGCCAGTGAAAAGCAAGGAAGGCGAGGTAATCACCAACATTGAAGAGCGACAAAACAGGTGGGTAGAACACTTCGAAGAACTCTTGAATCGACTAGCCCCACCGAACCCACCCAACATCGAAGCAGCACCCACGGACCTCCCAATCGATGTTGGCCCACTGACAATTGAAGAGCCTATAATGCAATCAGGGATACATCTAAAGATGGGTTACCTAAGTTGTTTGCATGGACTACAAAATTTCTGAGATGCACTACTTTCCGTTGTGAAGTGTTGAAAGTAGGTCTGTTGTTTTTCGCTTAACTTTGAATTCGAGTCAGATCTTTTTGACCCCCCAGCTAATTAACTCGGTCACAAGCTCCCAAGTCTCACAATTTTGTGGAAAATTTGACCCATTTTGGTGAAGCCGCATTAGGAACTTTTGGGGGATATCAGCCAACCCCTAAAACTTCCCGAAAGTTTCTTCAGAATCTTAATACAATTCGGGGAAATCGTCCCGTATTTATTAATAATAATAATAATAATTTATTAATAAAAAGTTTTTCACAATTTTGGGTGAACTTCGCGTTTTCCCCTAAAGTTCGATGTTTTTCTTCAAACTTTGGGGAAGGACATCTGACTTTGGGGTTCTTCCCTGAAATTTCCTCGAACGTGGTAGATTGTATTCCATCCAGAGTTTCACAACATCAGCGAAAATTAATGAATCAGACGATACGTATTTAGGAAGATCATTTATTCAAACTAAGAAGAAAAGAGCTCTTAGTACAGAACCTTGAGAGTATTCCCTGTGATGTTCTATAGCCTGAAAAATGTCCAGTTTACTCTGACCTCGGAAAATTGATTATTTAAATATCGAAAAGGCCAATTAGTTAAGAGTCACATGGTACCTAACCGTTCGAACTCATTAATAGGACATATATGGCTGGCCTTATTGAAGGTGTATTAGAATTTACGGTATGAGTTATCAACCATCCTCTTGTGATCAAGGATAGTTGTTCATCTGTTCACTGGAGTCAGGAGTCTCGTTATACAAGAATAACCCTTACGGCAACCGTTCTGTTAAGGTGAAAAGAATTTTTTGGATAGTAAGTAGTTGCATAAACCATCGCATAACATGGTGTTTATGATCTTTCAAGGTATTGAGAGGAGTGCTGTAGCTTGAAGGTTCGCTGCTTCGGCCTCCTTTGAAACTTCGTATGATGTCCACCAACCTCCGATTTTATGAGACCGTGTTTCGGCTTAGCAAATATGAGGGTATCATATTAAGAGGTTTTGCCAAGATTGAAGCCGTTTTTCTCAGTTTAACAGAGGAAACCATATCCAGACGGTATTGATCGTCCAAAAAAATTTAATGAAAAAAACAACCGATCAACTTAAGTATTTCACATTGAAATTCAGACCTCTTTACCCATCTGCCTCCTAGCCTCCTCTCAAATATTCTCATACTTTTCTCGAAACTGTGATGAGACAGCGTTATAGCTTCCGAGTTGAAGCCCTGAATTTTAGAGTAAGTGAGCGATCCCGTCTTTCTCCCACTTAGTGGGTTGAGAACTGTTCGTTACCTTATTCTGTCTTAACTTTTATTTACTCAATTGTCCCATTAATTGTAATCGACTCAGTTAATCTGCTATGAGTATTAATCATCATAACATTACGATGCTACGCGTGTGAAAGCGTCAATTGTTTAATGGACTATGCGTAAATATGAGTAAATCTAGATCGAAAAGTGAAAGTGTAGAAGAGGATTAAGAACAGGTTGCGTTTCTTCAATCGGGCTTACCATTGCAGAACTATGATCTACTATGACATTAGTACTGCTCTAATAATAGACCTGATCCTTAAATTGTAGGTTTTTCGTGATGTAACTGCCTAGTCCATGAGATCTTACATGGAAGTCACATCATTGTCTACGCCAATTCATTGCGTCGTAACAATTATCAATACATGAGGAGGAACACATTAAGTTTTTGAGATAGGGCAATATATTTAATGTGAATTAAAGATTATGCTATAACACTTAAGACTGACTACGCCTGCAAGGCCGAGCCATGCCGTTCGATCAATTCGAATTAATTCAATTTCTTGTTCCCGCCTTCTCTATCGTTGGGTTGTGTAGTTAGGGCCCGATTCCACTACAGATATTTGACCGCGGAAACAGTTTGAGCGGTATCAAACTGACGCGATGCATCACATTCTTTGGTAAACGTTACCATCTGGTGGGGTTCACCTGAAGGACTGGATAGTTTGTCCGCGGTCGTAAAAGAAGTGCCATGATTTTTAGATTCTGCATGCTAGTTGATGGCATTTGTAGAAGGTGCTTTCGGAGCGCACCCAGCAAAAGCCCCTCAACAAATCTCGAGCGCATTAATTCTTCTCGCCTTGAGAAATCTAGATGAGGAAACGCTTGGACTGTTGTTAGTTGCAAAGAGTGAAGATAGTCAATGGGATCTTCACTCGCCTTCTGGTGACGTGATAGAAACTGACTGGTCACCTGCTGAGTGTTCCTGGGTAGAGAAAAACATTCACCTAAAATTTTCAAGTTTTGGGACGACAAATTGCTTGCCGCGAAGCTGTTGCTCTTTTTGCTGCCCCATCATCTAGGTAAGATAAAAGACAGTCAAAGTGTTCTGTCGTCGGAACTCAACACAGATATGCCATTACTCTGACTTTCCAGATAGCATAATCTGATAAGGTTCAGAGTAGTGGTGGTTGGAGAGTGGTTGTACTGGTTGCTACTTTGACTGGGATTACCGGCGGATCATCATCGTTTCCATCACACTTTGCCGTAGTCACCCCCATCACCAGGTGTAGCACGTAGCATCAGCGTTTACTTGGAATCACGAGTGATCACGCAGCAAATCACAAGAGCAAAACCGTGACGGTTCGGGTACAAAAAGGGAAAACTTATTACAAGATATTTTCATCCATCGTTCTGCAGGTTCAGCTTACGTAGGGCTTGTTCATCTTTTTCCATTACATTTACTCTTTTCTGCCCTACAATAAGAAAAACCGACTCACGTTAGTAACGTCACATGTGATGATTCTTGACACTATTACATGTATTGTATTTGGAATTCGAATTTAAGCAGTCATCAAGTACAAAGGAATTACTAGTTCATGCATACACCACACTTTACTTTCATTTGCAGCATACGCTTCACTACTCACCTTTTTAATTTCTTTTACTTAGACGAACTGACGTATTGTATCAAGTGGCTCAACAGTAACATATAAAATATGACAACTGATTTACTGTTACTTGAACAAATATTTTCAAGACTAGTCCATCAATTCTAAAATTATTTCTGAAGATTAAATTTAGTATGGTCAAACTTCTTTGTGGTTAACTATCAACGCGTACTGTAGCAAAAAGACCTATCTTAGGTTTTTTGCTAGCGAATCCCTAAACGTAGTGGAAAAACTATTGGCTTTTGCTTAATCATTCAATTATAAAACATTTTTCCAAATACAGCTAAACTAACTGCATACTGGCTATTTAAATTGACATTGTTTATCAGAAACTAGGGAGCTATATTTAAAGAAAATGGGTCTTCATATCAGTATCTAATGAATTATTTTCATACAATCTAGATTATCTGGCTGGACTCATTTATGGAGATGGTAACGATAGCCGATGCCAGTAAAGATTACGTCAAGAAGTCCTCGATCTTTTGTATTACAGCTAGGTACAGTAGATTAATTAATCACAAATAATAATTAGATGCTAAAATAGACTACATATGTAGTTGTTTCTTATTGTTACTACACTTTGGGCTTTGACTCTGTATCACATATTCAGCAACCACTTAAGTAACCCCAGAAGTCTGGATATGTGTACATGAAATGTGTCCACAGATATATACATGGGAGTGCAGGCACCTCCCTGTACGGAGATTAGTGTTGACCGGCTACCATAAAAAAAACCCATTTCGAATTCTTTCCATCCACTAAGCCTCATTGCAAAACAACAATATGCCCTACTAACCGCTAAAAAAGCAATACGCCAAACCTAAGTTAGCTGTAACTAGAGGTGTCAAACTTAAACCTAAGCACATAGCTGAATGCAATGTGTAATAATAAATATTGCAACATATTCTTGTATTTATTTTGCTACGAAAAGGAGTACGAGTTTAGATAAATGGAGGGTAGGGTTTCAATGATTTGCTAGGAGTAGATGTTACTTCCAAACAAGATTTCTATTTTATCAGTCCGATTGTTATTACACTCAACGGAAGAGTAGTAGCTAGATTGTATCGGTTGTTAACAACTTAATGCGATAGTTGGTCAACACAAGATCATTCGACGTAAAAATTTCCGAATTGAAAGCTGTGAAATCCAAGAGAACAAAAATTAACCCATTTAGTAATGATCATTTCAAATTGTGGTTGTACGTATATAATCTGACTAAATTGGATTAAGTCAAGCTTAAACATAGGCAGTATGAAGATAATAGTTCAACTTGACACAAACTTTTTCACCGTGTGAGACACAAAAGCTGCTCAGAAGGATTATTTAGAACACATCCTAGCACTCCACCCAAAGACCATTGTTAGACTACATTGTCAGATTACATGATGCACCAGCCCGAAAATAGCTACCGAAGTGATTAATACTGTAACAGTTGAGTGGCCTGACTACAGCCACTAGATATTACCAAATGCTTGTAATGGAACCGGAAGAAGCGAGCATAAATGAATCGATCGCTTTAAACAAGCCATTCACAGAAATATCGGATAATGAAACCGCGCTGAAAACGAGAGATGTCTGTCCGCTTATACCTATCGAGATTGTTATGTTTGAGACATTTCGTCCATACTTCAAGAAAACTACAATGTAAGATCAGTTTTTAAGCTTCATAGGTTTAGTTCCAATACATATCAAAATGCCTTCTTTGTCCCCAACCATGTCTGAGGGCTCAATCGTCAACTGGGTTAAGAATGAAGGTACTTAGTATTTATTTAGCAATATACATTATTTTGATAAGGAGAGCAGGTAGCTGCTGGAGATATCCTCTGCGAAGTTCAGACGGACAAAGCCGTTATTGCATTTGAATCAGAGGAGGAAGGTGTACTTGCCAAAATATTGGTATGTTGTTTTGCATTATTCATTGTTTGCACCCCGACCTTTTTCATTCACTGTGTCCTGTCGATCGTAATTCTACTTGTTTATCTCTGGACAGTTCCAGACTTGTGTAGATTAGACGTCCATTTCTTCTGATAAGTACTTTCACATTTAAGGCTGCATTTTGGTATTGGGTTTCCCTAAGTTTCATTCAGATGGTAATTTCCTATATTACGTGATTTCATAGTAATGTTTGACCATCAAATATAGTGAAAACCTAAGTCCAATTTGCAAGGCCCATTCTTTTCGCTGATCAGAACTAAGATCAGATATATTCTGAAAGTCATTTTACATACAGTCAACGTATCAGGAAGTTTTGTGTTTTTTCTAAGGGAGCGTAATATCTCTATAGCAATTCAATTATTCTCATATGATGTGTTCAGTGTATTCAACTAAGACCCCTCTCAGTTGCGAATTAATGAAATGCAAGATGCTAAACGTCATGTCTAGGAAGCCTTTGCTTGCAAGTGTAAAACTAGTGTTTCCCAAAGTTACCAGATTCTCCCAAAATATGGGAATTTTAGTCTTGTTTTGGGGATTACTACTTTAACGGCAGAGCAAAACGTCTGGGATTCCGTCTGAATCTTGTCAAATAATAGGTCATTTGCAATTTCAGCTGCTCAGATTTTTTATCATTTTACTCTTTTTGTCTTAGAATGCTGTGTGCAGTATCGAAACATGCTTATCGCAGCTATCTCAGCAAGTTAAAGCCAAAAACTTCTATGCCTCGTAAAATTCCGTTGACTAATACTACAGGGCTAATCTCGGAGTTAGTGTTGACATCAGTGCGCATCCAATGCTTCAAAGGCATCGCGATTAGGTGTATATCTACCCGAATTTTTCACATGAAACAGAAGTATATCCATAATGCTGAATAATAATACATTTTTCTTTCAGCCCTCACAAGACATAATAAAGGGCTTCTTCGCTTTCAGAAACGTTTTGTCAAATCCATTACATCGCATAGTTGTTCCAATTAGTATCTTTTTCCCTCTACCTTTTCCATTATAGGTAAAATCTGATGTCTTCATTTTGTCAATCGTTTTTTAATTTGTATAATAAATATACTGACCTAATCCTTTAAAGAAAATAAGTGTTGGAAAACACCAAGTAGTTTTAACAGTCAAAATTCTGATAAGTTCACTGTTTTGATTAATTAGGTGAAACCTTACCCTCGTACAAAGTGTTTTACTGACCACTTGATTCTAATTAAAAATGTCCTACAATTTAATGTCTTATAGGCACCCACTGGCTCATCGAATATCAAAGTCGGTGGTTTGATTGCTGTGTTAGCCACTCCAGACGAGCATTGGCAAGAGGTGGCTACTTCCTCCGTATTGCTATCACAGCCATCGAAAGCCGACAGTACTCCAAAACAGTCAGAAAAAAACCGCACCATCCAGGAACCACAGTCATACCGCTTTTGTTCAATGGGACCTGCGGTTCGTCTTCTGTTACAATCACACGATATCGATGGATCTCAAATAATTTCTACAGGACCACATGGTCAGTTGCTCAAAGGGTAAGATGAACTGGTTTCGCGAGATCCACAATGAAACGGAAGAATGTGGCAGGATTTTAAGCCTACAAATAAGTGGTCAACCACTAAACTACTCTACTTTTGCTATCATTCACTTACTATATTCTCGTTCTTAGGGCTTTAAAACTAACACGGGGTTTGTAAGAGGATTTATAGTTGTGTTAATATATCGTATTTCTATTTGGTTATTTATAACATACTGCTAGTCTGTGTCGCGAGTGACCTTATCCCTGAGTCATCGAATTGACGGTTTTGGCTCGTAGCATATTGACTGAAGTATTTGGCTTACGACCAGTTGGTCAAAGGTTCCAAGTGGTTATTGAATGTCTGGAAATTTTCCTATCAACTTATATGAATATCAGGTTGTCGACTGTGCACAAGGACTGGCGGTTGATACTTCTTGGTTGGCAACAAGGAATATCTAAGGCATATAGCCTTTTAATTGTGTTTCTATTCATTTCCTTTAAACTATCTGGTTCCGGGATGCAGATAGTGAAAGGACAAAACGAAAATTAACATAGTTCACGCTTTTCCATATAATAGTTGACAAAAGATACTTAAGTTTTGGTCGATAGTCAATCGAAAAAACCATGACTACGTAGAAGCGAAACGATGGGAAAATGTGCTCTCAACAATAAAGTGTCGTTGATGGAGTTTTGTTCTATGAGCTGCATGGTGTGGTCGTGGAGCGTTCATCATGCTTCTGAACGACATCATCAGCACAAACTCCAGATACGGTAGTTTCAATCGGTTCAGTGTTTAATACGTTTTATACTGTTATTATTTTTATTTACTAATTGGTCCGTTTCCACGGAAATATCCAACAACTTTTTTATATCGCGTTATTCTCTTAGTGTCAACACTCAAATTCATAGTCCACTGTTTCATGATCAACTTAGCAACTCATTGTCCTGGAGTTTACGTTGTGAATTCTAAAGTTAACCATTTACACTGTTTCTTTTGACAGTAATCTATCCGGTTTAAGATTAAACACTGAAGCAGTGGTTTCATCAACGGAATTTCAGCTGCTGGCTTGTTGCTTCATATCCAGTTTGCTTTGGCCTGCTTAGTAGTATTTCTCCCCCATTCATAAAGATCAGTGTATAAAACTGGTTCGTTAATCGAGTTAAGCACAAAATTATTTAATTATATTTTTCTTCACGTTAGTTCCTTTCAAGAAATTAAGAAATTTGACTCTTTCATGCGTGAACTTATTAGTAATAATAGGATGGGAATTTTAAACCAAATATTCAACATCGATAAGGTTATTTGTTATGTTCTATGTGTTCATTTTACTTGGTTATCTTCATCCTAGGGATGTTTTGGCTTACATAGCTAACAACCAGATTAAACCTGTTGTATCTGATCAGGAGAAGCCAATTAATGATATCCCTGTAATGCAAACTGTCTCGTCAGTAGCCACTTTCACAGATATCACGTCATTGAATATGGGGAATGCTTTTGCCCAACGTTTGTCGGAATCGAAATTGTCTGTCCCACATCAATATATTCGTGCAACTACTCGCATTAATCGTCTAAATGAATTAAGAACTGAACTGAAAGTGGATTCGGATGTGGATTTTTCTATAAATGATTTCATCATCAAAGCTTGTGCTTTAGGCTTAAGGGTAAGTTTGTTTCTCTGTTTGATATCGAATATATATATATATATATATATATATATATATATATATATATATATATATATATATATATATATATATATATATATATATATATATATATAAACTAAATCCAATCAGTTGTCGAATCTGTTATATTACTTTTTTCTTATTGATATTCAAAATGAGAATTTAAATGCATGTATTTGTTACTAAATCTAAAATAGAAAAGAAAACATCAGCAAGGCCCGACCGTTGTTGCTACCTTGACGTGGTGGTCGGGCTTGCCTATCGTGATGAAGCAACCGAGCTATACTGGCTGGAACAACCGTCCCTCAAAGTCCTACCATGTCAGACAGATCGGTTGGAGAGCGGTTAGACTAAAAGCAACAAACCCAAGGTCCGAAGGCGAAGTCGTACTGCTGACTGTACAGAGGTGTGACAGTAGTAAGGTGTTTCCTTCAGACAACCAGCATGACAGCGATGCTGCCTTCCCACAAGGTGGGGTGGGGTTAGAAAAGATCGACCCTAAAAATGCACACCTCGCCTTATCCCACGATATCCGTCTCCGGCGGTAAGGTCTCAACAAGTACGGAGCTAGCACAAAAATTACCCATAAAAAGGTCGTGTGTGACCGACCTCAAGCAGTTGTCCCTTGGGCACTGCAGTCACGCTCTCAGGTCACTAAGACCACCTCTAATCCAATTTCCTTTTCAGGAACCTCCAGAAGAACCCTTCCACGGTGTGGGCAACCGGGAAGTGATAACCGCCCTCATACCTCTAACAGCACTCAAGACCACTCTGTTCATACTCAACCTCCCTCTTCAATTCCTATTATTCCTCCTACATCGACTTTCAACTCTAAATTTCCTCTTTCGGCTTCCATCCTAAGTGTCACCATAGCCAACGATTCTAGTGCTCAAAACACTGTCCCAGGTCTACTGAAACCTCGCTCCACACTACACATTGGAGCCTTCAACGTACTCACCGTATGTCAAATCGGTCAGCAGACTTCCTTGGCTAAAACCCCAGAGTCTCTTACCATTGATGTATGCTGTGTCTCCGAAACACGCATACAGGATCCCAGTGTGGTCATTCACTTGACCTCACCTCGGCAACACGGAGAGCCAACGAGATACACCCTCCGTGTATCTGGTGACCCGATGGCCAGTCCTCGTGGACTGGCAGGTGTAGGCATAGCACTAAGCATGAGGGCGGAACAAGCACTGCTAAAGTGGATCCCCGTTAACAGTCGTTTATGTGCTGTTCGGTTAATAGGCTCTGTAAGAACTCGGAAAGATCGGGACACACGTCGTTGCCTTTTTGTCGTTTCTGCCTACGCTCCCACTGACTGCAGCTCAGATGAAGTGAGAGATGGATTTTACAGAAAGCTAAACGTTCAGACATAGTACTCCTAGGAGGTGACTTTAATGTCCAAGTAGGTAGCTTAAGCCAAACAGAAAGACATTTAGGTGGGTATTTTGGTATTCCGGCACAGCGAACAGATAATGGTGATCGTCTGCTGCAACCATGCTCAGACAATCGTTTATTTTTAGCAAACACTAATTTTAAGCATAAGGAGAGACATCGTCTAACATGGCGACCCCCTACACCTACCCAACGATGGACTCAAATAGACTATATTGCCATCAGTCATCGTTGGAGAGGGTCGGTAGAAGATTGTCGCAAATTCTGGAGTACCTGCTTGGACTCCGACCATGCCCTAATACGGGCACGCATCTGCTTGCCCCTCACTGGACGCAAAAAAGCCACACTAAAAAGACCCATTAGAACTGAGTTGAGTAGCGGAAAACCTAAAGTAGGTTCCAGGAACAACTGAGGTCACAATTAGGTAGTTCTGAAGACGAGGCTGACCCAGATGTTGCTTGGAAACAGCTGTGGAAACAGCAGTGACATCTATTAGTGAATTAAACCACAGAGTTACAAAGAACCAGTGGATTTCTTCAAGGTCTATCACACTGATGGATTCTCGTAAACTCATACCATCAGGTTCTGAACATGATGAAGAGCGTAAACAAATCAGATCTAGGCTAACCAAAATTCTAAGGAAGGACCGTGAGCAGTGGTGGGCAACGAAAGCAAAAGAGATGGAAAAGGCGGTGGCTATAAGGAACACAAGATAGCTTTACAGACTAATAAAAGAAACTGGAATTAATAAGTCAAGTGTAAGTGAGATTATTTCGGAAAACGACGACACCCTCATCTGCTCTCAGTCCAGACGTTTAGAACGATGGGCGGAACATTTCAGAGAACAGATCAACTGGCCTTCAGCTACTTTACAACTACCCTCCATTCCCAGACAGCGTGAATGGGACATTGAAGTAGTTCCCCCAACTCTAGCAGAAGTTCAAAAGGCTATAGTTAATCTGAAACGAGGAAGGGCAGCTGGTCCAGTTGGATTGGCTCCAGAGGTCTTTAAGGATGGCGGTCCAATTTTAGCGATTAGGTTGACTAATATTTTAGCTAAGATCTGGGAGTCAGACGTTATCCCATCTAACTGGTCACAATCACTTATCGTCCCAATATATAAGAAAGGGTCAAATTCATCTTGTGACAACCACAGAGGGATTAGTTTAACTTATATAATATCTAAAATACTAGCCTCAATTATCAGACGCCAAACTAAGACTCGTGAACTGCAAACACGAGAGAATCAAGCTGGCTTCAGACCTGGTCGTGGCTGCATCGACCATATATTCACCATTCATCAGGTTCTAGAACATAGGCATACTTATCGGCGTCCGACAATGGTGGTCTTTCTTGACTTGAAAGCAGCATTTGACTCGGTAGACTATGAGATTCTGTGGTAGTGTCTGTCATTGAAAGGCGTACCTCAGAAGTACATAAACCTTGTAAACGCTCTTTACTCGAACACTACTAGTCGAGTCAGGGCTTATGGCGAACTGTCATCTACTTTTGCAACCTCAAGTGGTGTCCGTCAAGACTGTCCAATTTCTCCATTTTGTTTAACTTCATCATAGACCTATTGATAGAAATAACATTCTCGTCGACTGAATTCTCGGGTATTGATTTCCTACCAGGAGGTCCACTTATCGATTTAGAATACGCAGATGACATAGTCCTGTTTGGTGAAGACGCTGACAAAATGCAGAGTGTTTTGGTAGCACTAAGCAACAATGCCAGAATGTTTGGAATGCGCTTCTCTCCCTCCAAATGCAAGTTGTTGCCTCAGGACTGGTCTGTGTCAACACCTGAACTAAGGATAGGGAGTGAAGTAGTCAAACGCATCGACACCTTCACTTATCTTGGAAGTCTGATCAGTCCTAATGGTTTGGTGTCTGACGAAATCTCAGCACGGTTTCGAAAAGCTCGCTTGGCTTTTGCCAACTTACGTCACCTATAGCGAGGGCGAGATATCCGTCTATCAATAAAAGGACGAGTATACTGCGCGGCAGTCCGTTCTGTTTTAATTTACGGCAGCGAAACATGGCCATTAAGAGTAGAAGACACTCGTAAGCTATTAGTGCTTGACCATAGATGCCTTAGAGATATTGCTGACGTCTGCTGGGATCACCGGGTAAGTAATAGTGAGGTTAGACGCGCAGGGTATTAGGGAATGATGGTAAATCAGTTGATGAAGTTGTGAATCTTCGTCGACTGAGATGGTTGGGCCACGTGTTACGTATGCCCGAACACCGATTACCACGACGCGCAATGCTAACCGGTGTTGGAGATGGTTGGAAGAATGTTAGGGGCGGCCAAACCAAAACGTGGCATCAGTGCTTGAAGTCACTAACTTCTAGTCTGAGCCATGTTGGTATATGCAGACTACTTGTTTGGGGGCCGCGTGACTATCGTAACCAATGGTTGGAGACTCTTGGTGACATGGCTCAGAACCTATCAAAATGGCGTCGGTGTATACACTCTCTGTCTTCTCTTAAACTAAGAGATTAAAATTGCTTCATATCTTTCTACGTAATAATTCTTTCTTCCTGTACTATATCCTTATTGCACTATTTCTTTTATATATTACCACCTCTGAATTAACTACTTTATGAATCCGGTGTCCATCTTGTTGTGTTAATGAGGTATGGCAACTTGGACCGATGCATATATGTGCCTGGTTCTACGTTGTGGCTGACTGACTGTTAGTCATAAGCTTACTTTCCTGTTTTTTCTCATAGACGCCAAACAGTATGAATTACCTTCAAACATGTAGTTTCATTCATTGATTATATTGACTTTCGAGATTTTAGACGTTTGATATAATGTGCTTGTATTTCCAGAAGGTCCTATCAAACTATAAAAATAGCTGTTCACTTCCATCACCCTGTATAACAACATAATGAGAGCTATATTTGGTTTTTTAGACTTATTATTCAGGTAAGAAATTTCATCGTTGAGTCCTTAACAGTTCTGGTCAAAATCTAACAGGATTCAAAATAGACCAGTTTTCCAATATGAATACCTTATCTGACGATATCGAACTAGGTACTTTATCTTAGTGAAATTCTTGAATTTTTTATTGTCACGCAATCTTTTCGTTAAAATAAGGTAGGTAATTATCTAATTCTTCAAATTATTTAGAGAAAAGGTGGATTTCCTTACAATTCGATTGAATCTGGTCTGAAGTGCTTTAATTATGTTTCTTAGGGGAAAACATGAGGTGGAAAATTTAAGATCTGCAATTGTTTATAAGTCGATTTAATTTACAGTCCATCAGTTAGCTTATATGTTTTTTTTATTGTGACATGTCTTATATATCCACCGAAGGTAAAAGACAAGGTTAAATGTGACCTACAAACGGGTGTGCAGTGCATACGACTTAGCTTTTTGGACTTTATTGTATAACGAGATCTCGCTTAAGTTTGCTACACTACTGATTCGTAATCAGGTCTACTCAATGTCCCAAAACTACTGTTTTTAGGTGATACATAAGTAGATAACCTATTAAATTCATCTACAAGTTTTTGAAAAAAGCGTTTTACTAGCCTAAACACATTGAATAAACAACATTCAGATACAGTTCTGCAGCTACCTATCAACTTTTGTTTTATTTATGATTAGAATCCTATAGTTATAGTTATGAAAACACATCATTTTCTGCATTTGTAAAGCTTGTTCCAGATTTGAACGCCATTTATGATTCTCAAGCTAAATCTGCCATTTATCTGAGATCGGTCGATTTAAGTATGGCAGTAGCAACTAAATCAGGGTTACTTACGCCAATTTTGCATTCTGCAGATACACTTAATGTTTCTGATATCTCAAAGTTGTCGCAACAGTTGGTGCAGAAAGCACGAGATGGTATATTACAACCACATGAACTTGAAGGTGGGAGTTTCACGTAAGTGTCTGTTTAGAGCTTGAATCACATTCATTTCTGGTGTTTTTAGATGTTTCCTTGTAAACCATAATCCTTAAATATTCAACAACTATATGCATCAAAATATGAAGCAACGTTTGTTAATATATTTTATTAAATTTCCATCAACAAAGATGGGGGAGAAATAAGCCATCCAAATCCTTGAAGATTCCAATCATTTTAAATTAAAACGCGGTGCGATCGCTAGATCATCCAGCGACCACTGCTATTGGTAAGGTTAACTTATTAAGAGCCAAAAGTGTTGTAACTCAACTTCGTTTAAAGTCATTAAACTAGTTTTCCAAGGCTTTGTTAAAGATATTAGAAAAACTGGGGATTATCAGCACGAAAGTGGAGTATAGGGAATGATCAACTATGAAATTAATCTCAACCTTAAATATTGAGAGGTACTGGTATTCATAGTTTTAGGCGAAACTTCCGAAATCCACTAAAACTATTTGAGTTAAAAGTGAATCTTCCCACTACGTAACTACCATCGCATTACAATTCACTACTAATTTCAGTACTAAATACTTCATGAATTGCTTAGATTTTCAACTTTGGGAAGAAGTAAAAATAAGACACTATATAGCATTCAGCTTTTTGTTAGTATGTATTGGAGAACCCAGAATTTGTCAAGTTTTATGAATAATCTGGTTCACTACTCATGAGCCCTTTATTTTGTACAGGGTATTCCACCCACGACTTCGTGAACTAGTGTTATGTAAATTTCGCAAATTTATCCGTCTTTATTTTCTTAACAGAATCTTTAATCTTGGAATTTACGATATTCGAGAGTTCACCACTATTGTGAATCATCCTCAAGTCGCTATTTTGGCTGTTGGGAGTGGTTTGCCAGAGGCTTGTATCTCAACATCATATACCGAAAATGAAATAACTTTTTCAACCAATATAACGCTAACATTGTCAGTTGACTCACGATGTGTAAGTGAAGTTGTTGCAAGTTCTTTCTTGAAGTACGTTTGTAGTTTGTTAGGAGACTATCCGCATCTTTTACTCAATGGTGATCCTGTTTCTTTGTCACTGAAGAGTAATCATACTTCCTCTCAACAAGATGAATTTGATAATCTAATGCTTTCAAAAGTGAATACAGATATTATTCAAACCTTAGTTTGATTCACTGATATGTGCTGTATCTTTCTATTTCTCCTACTTTAATTTCTTCTCTACTTACAGTTATTCTATTTTGAAGGTTAGTATACGTCTGTAAAAGCAACTTTCACTGAAAAAATTAGGCTAGTAATGATTTCGGCTGTTAACTTTTGTTATACTGACTATTAATTAGAATTCTTATTTGTACTGTCGTATCATGGATAAATACATAACTAATAAAGTAAAAGTAACTTACTAACCCTCGCGAATAAATAATATTTATTTTTCTAAATAATACATATGAGTTATGCACTTGGGTATTATTACTGAATTTTATTAGAATTAATGACAGTGCGGATGATCATTATCAGGCAGTAAAGAAATCTTTATATTTTGTTTGGAAGTGACTGGTATTGAAGTATAATCTCGTCCCTAAAATCATAGTCTCTATAATAAAAACACGTATCGTCAATTCTCATTATTCTTACATAATGCAAGAAGTAAAGGAAAAGTTGCTAGAAATTATCAACTAAGTGGTTTTTACGTAAAATAAGTGACGAAAAAAGTCAGCATATTTCCCACTACCTGTCATGTGGTTCGTTCTCACAGTTACACTTCAGGGAACTGATAAGTCTTGCAAATTGAACGCTATATTCGGTTCCTAAGCTATTCTCGTAACCCCCAAGCTAGAAATGCACAGCGTCCTGAACACGAGAGAAAAGGCGCAAAATATGCGAGAAGCACTATACTCCAAAGGTTCGTTTTTGTACAGAAAATATAGGGTTTTTATAATATTGTAGATGTCCTTGGGTTTCCCGAAAATTCTGGAATGCTACTAAGCATAGTAGCAGTATATTAATCAGAAACTCTACATGTGACTCTTCACTTTCTTAATGTTTCTGGCTAAACTTCTGGTGAACGCTGATTGGACAAAATGCTTCTTAGTGTTTGCTTAGCCTTTCTTGTCTTTTGAGAGAAGTTTTTTGGATCGCCCCAACAGGAACTTCACTAATATTCACATCGACCGACCTCTCATTTGTAGATAGTTGAGTCCCCAACCGTTGTTGCTACCTTGAGGTGGTGGTCGGGTTTGCCTATCGTGATGAAGCAACCGAGCTATACTGGCTGGAACAACCGTCCCTCAAAGTCCTACCATGTCAGACAGATCGGTTGGAGAGCGGTTAGACTAAAAGCAACAAACCCAAGGTCCGAAGGCGAAGTCGTACTGCTGACTGTACAGAGGTGTGACAGTAGTAAGGTGTTTCCTTCAGACAACCAGCATAACATCGATGCTGCCTTCCCACTAGGAGGGGTGGGGTTAGAAAAGATCGACCCTAAAAATGCACACCCGCCTTATCCCACGATATCCGTCTCCGGCGGTAAGGTCTCAACAAGTACGGAGCTAGCACAAAATTACCCATAAAAAGGTCGTGTGTGACCGACCTCAAGCAGTTGTCCCTTGGGCACTGCAGTCACGCTCTCAGGTCACTAAGACCACCTCTAATCCAATTTCCTTTTCAGGAACCTCCAGAAGAACCCTTCCACGGTGTGGGCAACCGGGAAGTGATAACCGCCCTCATACCTCTAACAGCACTCAAGACCACTAAGGTAGTTGAATTATGTTAGGATGTCCAGCACTTGTACCCACTTGCCCATGCCAAAACGTTATGGTACAATTACATACCACGCGTCGTGGTATTGCGAGAATAAGAGCATCCCCCAAAGCTATGTTTATTGGCTAAACATTGATAATTAAGTAGGAGAATATGTATTAGGATGTTCACTATGTTCAAGTCTACAAAGCCCCAAAAGAAATCCAGCTTCTCTTTTTGCGAATCTCTGCTTACCCACAGTCAAGAGTAAATGTTGACTTATCAATAAGCCACGAGTACACTAAGCGAATTTGAACAAAAAAGTTAATTCTAGCGAGCGCATTATGAGTTCAACAAAAAGTCGGATGGGAAAGCGATACGAAGTGACTATTGTTGGGACAGAAATGAAGGAAGAGATAGCAAGTGAGCCAACTCGTTTTGATAAAGCGGGATTCAATATTTGTAGTCAGACAAAAACAAGCTACAGACGTAATGAATAGGGTAAGTAATACACACACAAGGTCGTGGAAAACACAATCAAGGTTAGTCAACGAACAATTGACAAGGTCAAAATGTGACTCAAGAAGAATGTTATTGTACCTAAGCGGCCCGTTAATGTAACTTCGATTTGAAAGGATGAATGGATATGCCGTAAATGGGAATCTTCAACTTTGTATATTATACCTAAACTATCCCCGTTTGTGCGACAGCGGTATTAAGCCAAATTCAAATTGAGTCGAATTATTTTTTCCGGCGCTGGTTTACTTGGACGGACAGATATTAAGAATGAGAAGTGGAAAAGAAAAGCAAAGGGGGAAGGCAAGTGTGATAACTCCATTTGACAAAGCGTGACTCAATATTTATAGCCAGAAAAATAATCTAAAAGCATGTAATAAATAGGGTAAGCGATGCAAAGAACCACTCATATGAAAGTATGATAAGCGAATAGTTGACAAGGTGAAAATAAGACTCAAGAAGAATAAATAAACTGCTCTGTCCGTAAACCAGAGTAACCTGTGTGGGCTTTCTGATATCTGGACGAAGAATAAGCAAATACCAATCGCTAGAATCTATTTGTGGATTATTGTTGTTATATTCTTATCGAATAACTATTAAGTAATTTTATTATGTGTATATTTATATTCTTTTTATCATAAGCTTTCATTTGACTTATGGACTACTATTATACGGTTTACTGTGTGGCGCATATATATTTGGTGCCATCTTGTACCAACATTTATATGTTCAAATAAATAAAATACGGTTTACTATCCTTATGTTATTCTCAGTTTATTAGTGACAGTCTCTCACAGCCACATTTTGGCTTGATTCTGTATAATTGTTATTTTTTGTTTTATGACGTAGTCTGGTTTGCTTGTATATAAACCAAGTATGTCTGGGAAATATTATTCATACAGTGCAAGCTGATATTGGCATTATGGACTCAACTGACAGGGCTACGCTAGGATCAATAAGGACTGTAGACTGCTCGCACTGGTCAACGCGTCATTGGCTTGGTACAGTGCTAAGATTGCACAAGTCGTGTTCTGATTAACAAATAAGTCACGTGATAACTAACAAGGCACAAGTCAGCAGATAGAAAACCATGTAAACACCTTTTGAACTAAAGTTGGATTGTATAAATTTCGAGCTGAATCCTGTAATGAGTTTTTTTCTGTAAAAACGATAAGATATGTCTATGAAAATTACACTGAGGCTCCACGTTTCTGTAACAGAAACTTACAAGGGAACGTCAGATCGAAAACGTACCGTCAAAATTAGGAAACAAATTGGAGTATCAGTTTTGCGCACTCGATAACATAACAGGCTCGAAATGTTACTATATAATACACATATTATACTTATATTTTGTTACTTGAGATAATTTTTGTCAGTTGGATTGATCTACGATATGAATCGTCGAATAGATGAGGTATCATTGATAAACCTTCTAACATCTAACACCAGGCACAATATATATAATAATCTGTACCATTAGTTGAATTTGGCAAGGTTGCCTAATCCCATGATTTGCCATCCATGACATTTGGAAAATTTTATTAACAAAGTACATCTTACTGTGTGATGATATACAACGTATTCAAACGTTACTCAATGTATATCACTGATACGCAAGTGTCTAAACAATAGTAGGCAGTTGTATCTGTAGTAAATGCTGATGTAGATCGTCATCCATACATTGATACTAATCTGTGCCCAACTAGTGTACATTGATTACAAGATTACTATTTTTGAGTAAGACCAGCATGTTTGATTATGTAAAGTAATGCAGTGTGGTTGGAGAAGCTGGAAGTCATTTTCGAAATAAATGGGTTGAACTCAAAACACTGACTTCGGTAAAGTAGATGCAACTAACACTAAGCAGCTACCGTAGTTATTATAGCTGGTATATATTAAGATCTGAAACCAATAAATCACGATAAGAACATGTTAATCGTTTGTTATAGCCACGAAAACGAGTAAGTAATTGAGCGAGATTGATGACTTTGGTTAACTATAATTGAAGCAATAAGCTGCTCAAAAATGTTGTAAATCAACCTCCTAACATTTATCTAGTAAGACTAGAACAATAAAATAATAATTGCCTATGTAGATATTAGGAGTAGGCCACATTTAGCCTCACCGTCAAGCTCTATTTGTGATAATTATTTTACATTACAACCAACTTCAGGAATAACTAACAACACAGAAAAAATATTAATGAACTATTATAAGAATGTAACAATTACGAAACGTACTATATTTCCACTTAACATACAACAATAATGTTTATATTTTGAGAGAATAGGTGATAAATTACAACATAACATGCCTAATGTATTTAAACACTTAAAGAAAAAAAAACCAAATTGAATGAAGGGTAAGTTCATGAAGTGAAAATGTTGGTTTACGGAATAAACATTTCATAAATAATTGTTTAAAAGTCTTCATCATCAGGATCATCATCGACTGCGTCATTATCAGAGTCTTCTTCATCCTCTTCTTCACTATCATCAACCATCATAACACGTTTATGTGAGCGAGCTTTCCTTGGTGGTAGGAGAGATTCTACAGTTGATGTGTTGATACGTATGGATTCAACAACAGAAACTGTTCCTCTAGATTCAGTAGCAGATAACGAACGGGGATGATTATGAGATCCAGGTGGAAGATTTGTTTTTGAGATAACAGAGACGGAACTGTTTGTTGTACGAGATATACAATACGTTGGCTTACGTGACATGCGTCTCGCTTTGCTACTGAAAGAACTTCGACTGGCACTGTCATCTACCAAGTGAGAAAAAACCCCCACCAAAATCAAGTAGGAATATATGCATGGGTCATTTTATATATAAATATACAAGCGATGATTTGAGGCAGATAACTAATCAACAGTATGTGACTAGATGGTCGGTCAGTACACATGAGACCCAGTTACTTCTTCCCATCAAGACGATAGAGAACGGAACAGCGAAATATCTGTTCGTGTGCACTACGGATAGAATAAACAGGCTACATGGGTACCTATATGTCAGCTGATTATTTTATAGCACTTTTCTGGTAACTAGCATTAATTATTTTATTCATGTCAAAATCTCGTACAACAGCACTAAAAATAGAAAGTGCCATGCAAAATAAATTTTGTGTGTTGGTGTAGTGGACGCTATTCACAA